TGCATATAGTAGTATTAACAATATAGCTAAAATCAGTTTTGATAAAAGGAACAATACCAAATAACATGATTATAAGATAAAGTGATTTTAAAAAAAACTTGAATTCGAACAGCGTTTCCACCCACCCACTCAAGAAAAAAAAGAGAAAATGATAATAACTATTTTAAATTATATAATTTGATGCCCATAAAGACAAATATAAACATGTATCAAATTATTTGAAAACAGTGCAGGAGGTCCAACATATTCATTCCAAAGCTAACTTAACTGGAAATACTCATTGTTTGTATGAAAAGACAACATTTAGATGGATAGATTAGTATTAATTTATTAACACATAACATTAGCTAATATATTACTTGATTGTTTGTTTGTTACAATAAAAGTAGTGTATTACTTTAAACAAGGTGGTTATCACCAAAATGTATTTATTGCAAACATCACGTGATACTCAACGTGTGACGTAAATACTCTTATCGTCAGGTGGTGGTGATAATAAGGTCAAAGGTTATACCAATATTTCATACCAGGTTTCACAACCCACGTCGTCTGACGTATAGCACAACTACATCGACAGCATTTATTGTGCTGAATTTCAAGTATATATTAATACAGCATACTATAAGGTAAGAATGTTGTAATTAATTAATGATACATGTTATTAATCATATATGAAGAAATATCATTGGTTGGCAGACATAATTGCTATATACAAATGAAAATGGGAAACTAATTGGCAGCTTTGCACTAGAATTAAATTGAGAAATAATAGGGAGGCCTATTCTACTGTTTGTAATACAAATTCTCAAATATACCAAATATATATTATTCAGTATATTTGTATGCAAATAAGTCTGCATACATTACTGAAATGTATAATCTTTTCGTTTCTAAGCTAAATATAGAATATATAGACATAATGGTACATATTATTCTGCTAACATTCATGTTTTAAATATTTTTTCACAGTACTGTATCACACATCACTTGAAATCCACTAAAATAAAAAATCAACTTCGTGTTGCATTTAGGATTTGATATGAAAATTATACAGAACATGTTCATCAATACACAGCCTTGGTTATAAGACGAATTTGAAACAATAGGCAAATTTTCACTAACGGCCAAACTGTTGAGAAGTGAACAACTCTGAGTATATTATGTTTAATATTACTTCTTGATCAAAAGAAAATATTGGAATACGTAAAATTTATTTTATTCAAATATAACTTTTGTTTAATGAAATAATAATGAAGACGTATGCATGATTTACTATTGCACATTATATGTTTTCACGCCATAATGGTCTATCAACTTGAAGCTACATCATTGAATGAAAATATATAAACGTTATAAAAGTTATTTCTTATTTAAATTAACAGAAAGTGAATTTAGATAGTAATTGTTTGATTTTCACAGATTACCTCTGACATGGCGTTTGGAAAGTCGTATCCACACAGGTTGATAATAGGTTTGGGAATAACGCAATTGGTGATTTCTGGATTGATTATAATATTTGGTATTGTTACCTCATTGTACATTGGATTCAAATATGGCTCGGCCCCTATCGTAATAGGGATCTGTGTAAGTGTGCGTTTAATGTAGTTTCTAATTTTATGAAGTTTACATATAAAATACAACTGCGACACTAAATGTTGTTTATTGAAATCGTTTGTTCTATTTGTGTGCATATCTATCATATTATCACGAGATAACGCTAAAAGTCAGTTTGTGACACTTAAATCAAACATTTTCTATTTGTGTTTAAGTTGAAAAAAATAATAAAAATAAGGATGTCTAGTCTATACAAAACTAATGGCATAGACACAAGTCTCACTGTCTAATAATTTCATAATCGATTTGTGACACTTTTAAACATTTGCTATTTGTGTTTAATTTGAATAAAAAAGCTAGGACCAAGTAAAAAATGTTCCGTCTACACCAGTCTCATTGTCTAATAATTGCATAATTGATCAGTTTGCCTTAGCAGGAATCCTCGCGGTGCTGTTGTCTAAATATCGAAAAGATGGACTAGTAAGTTTAAAATATTCTGAATCATTGAGAATTGTCAGATTCGATTAGTTGATAATCCAAATGTCGAAGACAACATGGTGATATGATGATGATGATGACGATGATGATGATGCTATGTTCTTATATAGGTAATAGCAGTTGTGACGGTGTCTGTTTTAAGCTCATTGTTTGCAGCAGGACTATTTATTGGTTTGGCAGTTCTTATGGCTCAATTTGCGTCTGTCTATAATAGTTTTGATTGTGGTACTGTCTGTCAGATTACTAAGGTACGTCGATTCGTGTGTATAAACAATACATTAGTTGTTCTTTAATGGGCATTAGATATTCAATAAACCATGCATTGTTTTCACATGTTCTAAACTATCAACACTTTCAAATTTCAGGGTCCTGTTTATGGAATTCTTGGTGTGATGATCTTCCTGCTTTTGGTGGAATTTGTTGTTGCAATTGTAACAGCATCAACAAGTGGTGGCTGTTGTTTCCAAGACAACCAAGGCACACATGATAAGGTATTACTAAGTTATTCAGCTTAAACAGAGGACTACACGATAAAGAAGACTTTAATTGTATCAACGTATTTACGTAGCTAGACGTATATGTTCAAATTCACTGACTTTACACTGGTAACATAGTAACTCGTCATATTTCTGTTGATTAGGTCTCAAACGAAACTGAAAAAGAAGCAATGCTACCCTAAAGTTGGAACTGTGTGACTACTTCATAGATTATGCTAATGTATAACACATTTTGCATAAATAAAAAGATTTACTTGCATCTGTTGTATATGAGTATCTGTATTTGTATGTATCCTAGGTTAGAGGTGACTGTGATGAAAAGTAAGAAGTGAAAACTGAGTTAAATATTTTTAAAAAAAATGAAACAATATGGTGATATCGTTATTTTTATGAGAATAACAATGTGGCGGTAATACATTTGTCTACTCCCAAAACTCAAGTACAGGAAAATAAATTCAAATAGGTCCCTATAACTATCGGTACCCATGTAAACTATAATAAATAATGATGGATGCCTGGTACGCTGACAACAATATTGCAATATTCCCCCATGTAGAATGAAGGGATATCACATTGATAAAAGCAAGTACTTGTAGATCACAATAAGTACTGCCTTAGAAAATACAGGAGTTTTACTTAACAGTAATACATTTTCATCATAACTGTCAATGGACTATGTACAGAAAACCTTGAGGTAAGGTTGAGAGGACATTGAATAAAAATCGTCGCCACTATGACCTAAGGCATCAATCTCATACATGACATTTTGTTATTGTACCAGTATGAGTATGTTGACATCAAAACTTGATGTAGATTATATAATTATAGATTATATAACTGAGTAGATTATATAATAGGCAATGAAGTGTGTTCAGTGTGTTTAAACATTCACCTTCCCGTATTATGGGTCCAGAATAATTGTACAAACCTTTTAACATTGCTTTTATACACAGACCACGGGTAAATCCATGTGCAGATCTTTAACAAATACTAATACATGTATAGTTACAAAAACACTAGAGATACTACTAATATATATCAAATCGTTCATCTCAAAGAAGGTAACATGTCATAACCACCGCAAGGGGATGTTTTCCATTAGACGAAACAGTGTAAGAAAAATTACAAATATTTGTAAAAAATCAATACATGACAAGTATTAGGAGGGTTTAGGGATGATTCCGATTTGTCATAATAAATAAATTGAATTTCTAAACCATCTATAGTGTTTATCATACGCACAGTCTTCGAAATGCTGTCCACACAGGTCCGTGTTGTTCACTTTTTGTCGGTGCCCATATCTGAACAACAAAAATAAATCAGTCTCTCTTGTCGAAGTGTTTCGTATCACTCATACTGTGACAACTATGACCATGTGCTTCAACTTTGTAGATGACATTTTGTGATTTGACCACCACAAACATTCGAATTCAAGTGGGTATCTAGTTATTTTATAATCGAAATTGACAAGCTGGTAGGTGGTTGGTGTCAGAGAAAGAAATATTAAACACGATATGTTCGAATTAAATGATGAATAGAAATGTTTATCATGTAAACCATCAATGTGTGTACATTTATTATAAATTCATACACTCCAATTGTATGTTTATTAGCTCTCTCTATAAGCTAAATATAGATGATGCACACATAATGATACAATTTATATTTATATTATTTTATAGCACATATCGACACTGTTTCTTTTCCTTTACCCCTTTCTCTAAATTATCCTTTAAAATTATGGTTGGTATTAAAACTAAAATTCTGCTTTATTTAATTTGTTACATAATATGATAGAAAGAAATTTCAAACCATCATTAATATTGAATTTATTTACCGCCAGTTATTGGACGATTATAAGGCAGTTTTTGAAAATTTAATGTGAAGGTATAATTTCCTTTTTTAATGAGTGTCTCTAGGGGCGATTCTTTTCCTTGAAGTCGTTCATATTTATAACTAACAAATGTTTTTGTTATTTAAATAAACAAGATGGACACTGTGAATGTCGTTTCTTATACTCACAAACATCGTGACGTATATGATCGTGTGTAGCACGCTTTTTTCAAACAAAGGCATGATAATATTGTAGAATATTCAAATATGAAGAGCTTTTGTTAAGGTAAAACACAAATTGGTGATTGGTGGAATTGTTATAACATCAGATATCGTTACCACATTGTTAAATATAGGAATCCTTCACGGTTCGAC